TAGGTAAAGGAAGTCTACATTGGTCAGCATGTATAACATGTGTCATATGTCACAGTCTGATTATTAATATTGATTGCTTTTAGCTACATTTGTGACAAAAAAAAAAGCTACATATAAAATACTTGTTACAATCTAGTAAGTTATAATTCTCATGTCTAAAATACATCCAAATATAAGCACATGTATAGTTATAGTTCGTATAACCAAGCTATGCAAAACGAGAAGATAATTTTGAAGATTGGAGAGGTAGAGAGGCCATCCCTGGCAAACATGGTGGGATCGGAGCTGCATCTATTGCTTGTGGTAACAAAGAAACTCAAAACTTCTTCTATATTTTTTCATAATCTTTAAATTGTTATAATATATACTTATGTTATGTGTATTGGTGTGGTAAATATAGTTGCGGAGATGATGGAGAACACAGTGTTCATAGCTTATGGTTTCAATTTCTTGAAATACTTCATGAGTTCGATGCATTATTCGCCAGCCACAGCAGCAAACATGGTCACTAATTTCATGGGAACATCGTTTCTTCTCACTCTTTTTGGTGGTTTCATCGCTGACTCTTTCCTCACTCATTTCACAACTTTCATCATCTTCTGTTGTATGGAACTCGTGGTAATCAAACACTTCATAAAGTTGTACCTACCAATTATTAGACAATTAGTGTATTTTGATATGAAAACGAGTAATCCGATTAATAAGTTTAAGCATTTGATTAGGGATTGATCTTGTTGACGGTCCAAGCTCATAGCCCCAAGCTACAACCTGAAGGAAATAAAACACCTTCAACTCTTCAATCAACGATTCTTTTCACAGGACTTTATGCGATGGCTATGGGTGCGGGCGGTATCAGAGCCTCGTTGCCTCCTCACGGAGGCAATCAGCTGGACAGTAGAAAGCCGAGACTGATCTCGAGATTCTTCAATTGGTTATACTTCTCTATATGCTTTGGATGCCTCCTGGCCGTAACTGTTATGTTGTGGATCGAGGAGAACAAAGGGTGGAACTTTAGCTTTAATATCTCAATTTGTGTTTTAGCGATTGCGCTCTGTATCTTCACGGCAGGGTTACCATTTTATCGATTCAAGCGTCCTAATGGGAGTCCGTTGACAATGATCGCAATTGTGATTATTTCTGCCGCAAGAAACCGAAATAAATCTGATTTGGATGAGGAGATGATGCAGAATCTTATCTTTACCGACAAGACCAATCGTCGCAACAAGTTAAAGTAAGTATTCTAAGATGAAATGATGCAAATTAAGAA